ATATCTGGGGAACAATAAATGTGATAAGCCACGGGAAAAAAAGAAGGTTAAAAATCACACAATTGCCCTGCCCAGGTGGTTCAGTTGGTGGGAGCACCTTCCTGTACACCAAAAGGTTGAAGGTTAGATTCCTGGGTTGGATCCCTGGTTGGGGAATGTCCGGGAGGCAAGTGATCAAAGTTTCTCTCTCACATTGATGTTTATTTATCTCTTTCTTTCTCTCTCTCTACCCCTTCCTCTCTCTAAAACCAATAAAAACATATCCTCAGATGAGGATTAAAAAGATAGAAAAATTTTAAATCACGTGAGCATTTCAATAGATGCAGATAAAACATTTGGTAAAAGCCAGCACCTGTTTATGATAAAAACTCTCAGTAAAGTGAGAGTAGAGGGAACACAATAAAGGCCAAAAAATGAAACTAGATCCACTTCTTATACCACACACAAGAATAAACTCAAAGTAGATTATAGACTTAAATGTTAGACTTGAAACTGTAAAAATCCTAGAAGAAAAGATAAGCAGTAAAAACCTGGACATTTCTTGTAACAATATTTTTTTCTGATATATCTCCTCAGGCAAGGAAAACAAAAGAAAAAAATAAACAAATGGGTCTACATCAAACAAAAAGTTTTTGCACAGCAAAGAAAAGCATCAACAAAATGAAAAGAGAACCCACTGAATGAGAGAATATATTCTCCCATTGATAAGGAGTTAATATCCAAAATGGATAAAGAACATAAAATTCAACACCAAAAAAAGAGAAATGATACAATTAAAAAATTGGCAAAGAGCCTGAACAGACACTTCTCCAAGAAGACATACAGATTGCCTATAGACATATGAAAAGATCGTCAACATCACTAGTCATCAGAGAAATCAAAACCACAATGGGTTCACACCTCACACCTGTCAGAATAGCTATTATCAATAAATCAACATCAACAAGTGGTGGTGAGGACGTGGAGAAAAGGGCACCCTGTGCACTGCTGGTGGGAATGCAGATGGGTGCAGCCCCCGTGGAAAGGAGAAGGAAGTTTCCTCAAAAAATTAAAAATGGAACTGCCTTACAACCCAGTGATCCCACTTCTGGGAATATAGTCGAAGAAACCTGAAAAAAGTAATTCAAAAGAATATATGCACCCTTATGTTCATTGCAGTGCTATTTCCAATAGCCAAGATTTGGAAGGAGCCCAAGTATTCTGCAGTAGATGAGTGCATAAAAATGTGGTACGTTTACACAGTGGAATACTACTCAGGCATAAAAAAGAAGGAAATCTTACCCTTTGTGACAGCATGGAAGCTGGAGAATATTAAGCTAAGTGAAATAAACCAGTCAGAGCAAGACAAGTACCGTATGATTTTACTTATATGTGGAATTTAATGAACAAAATAAACTAACAAAATAGAAAAATATAGAGAATAGACTGACAGCTGTGAGAGGTGAGGGGAGGTTGCAGAGCTGGGTGAAAAAGGTGAAGGAATTAAGGGAAGAACAAAACCATACCCTCATGCACACAGACAACTCTGGCAATTACCAGAGGGAAAGGGGCCTGGGAGGAGGTAGAAGAAGGTATAGGAGGGAAAAATGGTAAAGGAAGGAGATTTGACTTGGGCTGGTGAACACACAACATAATATACAGATGATGTATTATAGAATTGTACCCTTGAAACCTATATAATTTTATTAACCAATGTTACCCCAATAAATTCAATGAAAAAGAAAAACAGGTAATTAATTAGAAAAGAGTAATAAAAGGGTTGTTGGCCAGTTTTGAGTGCTGATATTTGAAGTGTATAGTCCATCATTAATACAAAGTGACCAGAAGTAGTAATGAGTATTATCATCCAAATATTACCTTTATTGGTTGAAAGCTAATGAAAGCTAGGTACCTGTGTATAAGCAATGGATGAACTATAAAAGAAAAATCATATTGCCATTTTCATAACTTCATAGTTCTGTTGACACTTCACTGTGTCCATGTCAAATGGGAAAATAAAATATTCTTTCCAAATCTAAAGTTTTTTCTCAATAGTCCAGCACTGAAAAACTAAAAGCACGTGTCAAGCAAAACACTGTTTACTGCATGCTAAACTGAGATCTAAATTCAGTTAACAAATCAGTAAAATAAAATGAGAACATATTGAGTTTTTACTTCAGAGGTCATAAAGATGTTCAAATGTGAAACTGGAGGACATAGGTATCTCCCCGCCTTGTACTCTGAACATATGCCAGGTGAAAATTTAAAAATTACTGTATAACTTTAGCAACTGCATGGGTGAAAGCAGTATGATGGGAATTAATACCTAAATAAATATCCACCAAGGCCCAAGAAAGACCACTTGTGTGATTTGGCAGGGAAATGAAAACTAACACAACCACTTTCACATTCAAACAAAAGAGCAGGACTTTTTAAAATGAGATAAAATTCATACTGACACTTTTTTTTGTTAATCTTCACCTGAAGATATCGTTTCCATTGATTTTTAGAGAGAGTGGAAAGGGTAGATAAGAGAGAGTGAAAGAGAGAAACACCGATGTGAGAAGGCACATTGATTGTTTGCCTCCCACATGGCCCACACCAGGGCCAAGACCAAACCTGCAACCCAGGTGAATGCCCTGGACTGGGAATTCAATCCAGGACCCTTTGGTGTATGGACCAATGGTACAAGCCAGGGCAACAACAGAAGTTTTGACATCTATGTGTAGAGGTTGTTACATAAACCAAGGCAATTAATATGGCAAAGAGAAAGGAACTGTGGATATACAGGCTGAGATATTTTAGAAAAAGAGGTGACATAATGAGGGTTTTAATTATAAAGTCAAAGTTGTAGAAAGTTGGGAAGAATTATATAAATGCAAGCACAATATTTATTTACTCTTCTCCTGCTATTTTCCAACAGAAACATTTTAAAGTACATTTACGATAGACACCCAACCCCAAAAGCATAAAAGCCAAGTGAGGAGATGAATGAGTACCTAAAAAGAACTTGTCAAACTCAAAGAAATAACGTTAAAGGAAAAGAGATAAACCCTACTATAAACCATGTTAAGGTTAAATTGCATTTTAATGAATTATTAAAATGCTTTGGTTAAATAAAATACTAAGAAACATAGGCAAAAAGAGGACATTAAAAGGTTTGGGCTTTTTCCCCTAGAGGTATTTTTTATAATGATATTTGTTCTGGTAGGAATTGATTATACAAATGTCACAGCTGAATGAATGTGTGTGGTTTGAGAACAAGTGAACTGTCTCAGAGAATGGGAAAAGGAACTTGGACTGCAATAAAAGTCATTCTCATCATGGGTTTCTAGACCCTCCACCAATGTCATAATGGATGACTAATTTTAAATACAGTACTCCAGACAGACTGAGAAAAGTTGATGATTAAGCTATCCAGACAAACTACACTGTGTGATTGAAAATTAGTATTTATTTGTGGGGTTTTTTAAAACAAAAATGGGAAATCTGCCTTGCTTCCTTTATCGCTCATTCTTAATGCCACAAGATTTGCGTCCCTGACACTGTGTTAGCTCATTAACCTTACTGCAGGCTCTGCATTCTAGGGAAACAAGACAAGAGAAACAAACAAAAAAAATATGATCTTTGCATACACCAATCAAGGACACAAATGTGTAATGATACTGATCAAGTAAAAAGAGAGAAGGCAATGATAAACACTTTAAGAATGAGAAAGGAGCCCAGCCGGTGCTGCACAGCTGTTGAGCATCCACCCATTAACAAGAGGGGCACGGTTCAATTTCCATTCAGGGCACATGCCCGGGTTTCAGGTTTGATTCCCAGTAGGGGGCATGCAGAAAGCAGTTGATCAATGACTCTCACCACTAATATTTCCCTCTCTCTCCCTTTCCCTTCCTCTCTCTGAAATAAAAAATAAAAAAAATAAAAATTTAAGAAAAAAAAGGCGCCTCTGCAGCATGGTTCAGTAGTTAAGCATAGACTTATGATCTAAGAGATCATGGTTTGATTCCTGGTTAGGGGGCATGCCCTGGTTGCTGGCTTGATCCCTAGTAGAGGGCATGCAGGAGGCACCCAATCAATGACTCAATCACTGATGTTTCTCTCTCTCTCCCTCTCCCTTCCTCTCTCTGAAATCAATAAAAACATGAAAAAAAAAAAGAATGAGAAAGGAGCTATGAGTACAAACTGGAAATTTTAATATAAGAAAAGAATATTTTTTTTAAAAAAGGTAATGCTGATAAATTTGAAAACCCAAGATAGGTAAGAATTACTAAAACACAATATCGAACACAGAATACACAAAAGGAAAGACAAATAAATTTAACTTCATTTAACTTAAAAGCTTCTTTTCATCAAAAGACACCAAAAGCCAGGCCACTGACTGGGGACCAGGTCTGAAATGTATGGAAGGATAATTGATCTAGAATTCATAAACTCCTATAAATCAATTAAGAAAAAAGCCCAGTCTCTTTGAAAAATAGGCAATCAATATGAACAAGCAATTAACAGAAGCAGAAACTCAAATGGCCAATAAATATATATTAAGCTACCCTATCTCCTTCGTAATCACTTCACATCTGATTGCCAAAATTAAAAAGCCTGAAAATATAAAGTGTTTATATCATAGGTATGGACCTATGAGAATAATTATACTCTATTGATGGGAATATAAGTTGGTATAACATATCTGAGAACAATTTAGCATCAACTAGTAAAGTTGAATGTGGGTTAATTCTACAACCCACCAATACCACTCCCAGGTATCTGCTCTAGAAAGATACTGGGCAAGGAGACTGCAAGAATGCTCACTGTGGCACTAGATCTTGACTGTGGCTATCTACATGGAGGGAAGAAGAGATATGGGTTTAGTAAGAGATACATAATGGCTTTTAATTTATCTGTAATGTTTTATGTCTTAAGGCGAGGGTTGGGTACCTAGTCGTCCCTTATGTTATTACCTACAATTTTTGGTTTGTCTGAATTTTTTCATAGATTAAAAAAAAAAAATCATTACTTACCAAACTATCCACATCTATGCTGGAGTTTATAGCCCACTGCAATGTACCCATGATATTCATGGCTAATGTTAGGACGATACCTATTGTTCCTTCTCTTTCACCTATAAGTGGAACAAAGATATAAATAAACTTTATGTTATTCCTCTCCTGAATTCTTTTATTTATAACTCTTCAGGGCATATGTCATTTCAAGTTACATTTCAATTCTGTGCGAGTTTTAATCATCTTTCATCTCAGTTCACTATAGCATATACCACTAGTAATAATGCCCTGCAAGTGCATATAGTAAGTATTCAACCAATGTTTTAAATCAAAGAGTGATTGAAGATTAGGAGTTGCTCTTTTTTAAATGCTTCGGGTATTGAAGGGGCTGTTGGTGTTGGGTACATACCATGTTTATCTCCTCTGCTACTACTCTGTAAGTAATAATACCTTCAAAGACTATAATGGACAATGGGGAAAAAGCCCTGTGTTCCAATGAGCTCCTCTACAAAGAAGTCAGATGCTGTTGGGAAGAAAGGGACCTACAGTTTCACAGGGAAGTCAAAACTCACCAGTCTGCCATTTAGAAAGAGACGACTGCCATTTACGTTACAAAAAACAACAGGACAACTAGTTCATCCAGGAAGAACAAAACTTAAGTGTTTATAGAGTAAGTAGATTTTCAGGGCTGGAGAGGACTACTAATTAAAATTCATAAGTATTCAGTGTTTATAACCATAAAAATTTTCCAAAATTTTCCATTCTTAAATTATTATAACTGTAGGTCATCAAATCACAATAGAAAGTAAGTCTGTATCTATTATGCATGATAAAATTGTCATAGGGTTCTAAAAATAGAAGAAATAATTCATCCTATCATTATTAATTGAAATTTTTGCTTCTACAATTCCTCTAACAGAAGACAAACCATAGACAGCAGGTATATGTTTTTAGTACTAAATCATTTATTCTAAACAGGCAAGATTTATTCAGAATTTCAATATATAACCCATTCTGAAGATTAAGATGAGAGTAAGATAAAATTGAATAACGATAACAATAAGAAGCAATGTAAGATTTATGGGTATTTATTATAGGCCAGGCACTGTCCTGTTATGCACAAATTATCACATTTAATACTCAAAACAAACCTGCTGTGTGGCTAACATTCACTCTGGCTGGGTATCCAATTTGACTGATAGGTCCTAAATTACTCCTGATTGTTAAATGTTTTGCCTACCACTCCAGGTAAATCAGGCCATAATCAGATCCTTAATCATTATGTTATAGCACATGATATATTAATTTGAATTAATTGTTAATGGATCTTTATTCATGTAATTTAGCCCTCTTTGATCCTGTTTCAAATAACTTGAGGGAAAAAAGTTTAAAATTCTGAACCTATAAAAAAAATTTTATTGTTTTAAATGTTGTCCAAAATTACTGTACTGTACTGTACTTCAAAGAGAGAAATGAATGAAGCAGCTGCAGAAAGGAAGGGACAGAGGCCAGCATTTGGCCTCAAGAGATGAAGAAGAGCCAAGTATGATTCTCCATGCCTATTCCATTTCCTCTAGAGGCCCAGGGTACCTCCTGCCTTGGGGCTCCAGGAGGCACTCTTGTAACTCTTACAGGTGACTCGTTTTGATTTGAGCAGGATTCTCTTCTTACAACCAAACACTCCTTTGGCCTTTGGCATTTGCCCTGAGCCTTTATCCACTGTCACATATATATTTTAATACTTTATATAGCTCAGTAATATAACTTCTTACATTAGAAGGACTTACTTGTCACTTGTCTATATAGATTTTTATTTTTTTATGATGAAATACTTTGTTTTTTATCCAAGATCTTAAGATTCAACACATTTGTATTTAAAAAATATGGCACTTTTATCTAACATTTCACATCTGTGGCGGTTTTTGTCATGCAAAATTCTCGTTAGGATAACAAATTTTACCAACTGGTGGTTAAAAAAACAAAACTTATCAGGGATGAGGCTTTTGTATGTGTGTGTGTGTAAATGCTGATGTTTCTTTCCCCCTATTCAGAGAGCTCTTTATTAGAGATACCTATTATTTTTATAATCCTTTCCTACTATGAGTGTCCAGAGATGTGTTTTTTCTTTTTTCAATCACAGATTTGTTATCTGACAGCACTTTGTCTCAGTTTGTTAAACCGTAAAGTAGGGATAATACTACAGAGAGTTCTAATTCAAAGATATCATTTGTTCAACAATAAAACAATAGAAATTCAAGAAAATAATTTGTTCAACAATAAACTAATAAATGTTTTGATTAACAAATGCCCCCCAAAATGGTTTAAAGATATCTAAAATTTTTAACCTAAAGAATGTAGCATTTTATTGATTGACAAAATTTTAAATTAAATGTTTAGTAACTACTTAAACAACTTCACAGTACCTGTTGTTAAAATAGAAATGAAGGTAACAGCAATGAAGAAGATGACAAAAATAATTTCTATTCTCATTTGGAACCAGCGCAGTGTTGACAGGTACAAGAACCAGTTGGCAGTATGTAAATTCAAAGCTTTGTGGAATAGTATTTCAAAGTAAGGCTGACGTCCAAAGGCACGAAGTGTCCATAGTCCTTTTAAGCTTGTAACCAGATGAGTGAAAATTGGACTCCTGCCTGTGAAATATTCCCATAGAAAACAATGCAAATCATGTAAAGGCATAATGAAAATTCTTAAGACTATGTCCCTGATAAAGATTAGCTTAAAAGACAGCAAATGTCATTGGTTAGAGAGGTTTTCATTCTGGTGCTATATTTGGAATAGATGAAATTTGTTAATTTTTAATGTTACCCTCCTTTTTTAGTTGGCTAACATGGATGGGAACGTATTATAAAATCACTGCTATTATTTATTCATGCTTCTTGACTACTACTGTCAGTTTTTCTGGCTAATCTTAATCACTGTTGAGACAAAATGGTTTCCTTTTAAGACAATTTATTCAACACCTTGACTAAGAATGCTTAAGAGACTTAATTTAACAAATAACCTTCAATGCAGAAATGCACTTGAAATTTAGCCCCTGAAAATGCACCTGCTCCAATGCTATTACCAAAAAATGTGCTTCCCAAACAGTTCAAGCATGTTTGGGGCACAAAAAGGCAGAGGGAAAGGAAGGGTGTCTGAAAACAAGCCGGGAGGAAGAGTTTTGTCCAGTATTGTTTAGGAACTCAGGCAAACCTTTAGTAATAGTAGCACTATTATTTTAAAATTTAATTTATATCAGTAAATTATGAATGAATATCCTATATACCAGCCTTGGTAAGACTCTATATAGTGGTTTTAAAACTAAAATGATTTCACATAGTCTTAATTACCAAAATCGATCTATGTGTACTTTGTAATTTACTATTTCCTTTTATATTCATATGCTTTTAATCCTCACCAGAGAATATGTTTTGTTTTGTTTTGTTTTGTTATTTTAGAGAGAGAAGAAGGAAGAGAGAAAAAAACAACATTCAGGCGAGAGAGAAACATTGATTGACTGCCTCCCTTACACTCCCAGACAGGGGATCAAATCTGAAACCTAGGTGTGTGCCCTAACCAGGAATCTGACCTGCTGCCTTTTGGTGTACGGGACTACGTTCTAACCAACTGAACCACCCAGCCAGGGCTATATTCATATACTTTTAAAAAGTCATTGTTATATAATGCAAAAGTTTAAAAGCAGAAATATTTTTTTTTTGAAAAGTAGATTAATAATAGAGAATCACGAGTAGCTGTTGTGGATATTTTCTGAGGTGAGCGTTGCACATTCAGCATCATACCTTCAGATTCCAGTTGTTTGAGTTGCTGGGAGGTGTGGAGGAAGTAGGCTCTCAACATAATAAAAGCAGCGATCACTGGCACTGTTGCTAAGAAGATGTAGGGCTCTAAAACGGAGACGACTACTACAGCTCCAATCACAATTAATACCAACTGTAGGATCAAAGAAAACACGTTAGTGTGTAAATACTTTCATGTTGCAAAGTGAACAAGGTATGTCAGCGATATATTTCTAAATAGCTCTTCACACTGTTCTATTCTCAATAAAAGGCAGGCATTTTCCTACTAGGAACGCTGTTATCTCAAAGTACTTTCTTATAAGTTTTCTCTGAATACTAGAAAAATTGATTAGGTCCCTCATAATAGCATTTTGAAGTTTAGAAAACACAGTGATCTTGGATCTCTCAGTGTGCTCATTTCCCTTACACTTTAAAGTGCATGATAAATAAACTGGAAAGGGTGATTTTTTTCCCCCTAGCCTGGCCCTCTTTTAAAATAAACTTTTTATTTTGAGATAATTTCAGTATGAATGTGAAATTTTAATGTTTATTTTGCTTAGAAAATTTCTGAAATTGGGCATTCATCTTGCAGCCTTTTGAGTCAGAAAGACCTGGTTTAAATGTAGGCTTGTCACTTAAGCAACCTATTTAACTTCTCTGAACCTAGTTTTTTCATGTTTAAGATTGAAAAAATTATACTTAATAAACAAATGTTACTCCCCTTCCCCAAATCCTGTTTCTGTTCCTTAAAACAATTAGAGATGGCCTAGAGGCTCAAAAACAAAAACAAAAACAAAGCAAAGAAAACAAACTTGGGGGATATGGCTAATTTAATTTGAAATTAGACAGATTTTTCTATCTCATATATTGTCAAATAAATTTTGTGTTTCAGCCAAATTAATCCACTAGTGCTACTGCTTCACATTATTCACCAAAAACCTGGAGCCCTATTGATCCCTGGCAGTCTCAGAAACAATCTAACCACAATGGTGTTCTTCAGCATCAAGGTAAAGGCTTAACTTCTATATTTCCACATGACAATAAATCCACACATTTTAAAAAGAAAAAAAAGTCTGCTAACATTTATTCCACAATAATTCATTTGAATAATGTATAAAGTAACTGCCACAACAAGGGTTAAAAAAAACCCTATTATAATATCCATAGGATAATCAATGAACCAGTTTCTATGGGTGACATGTGGACAATGAAGTGGACGATGGGAGCATTTTGGTAGATGGGAGCAGGATGCAAGTGTAGCTAAAATCTGCATAAATCTTCTTTGAATAGGTTATTTTCATCTAAAATTTCAGATAATCATATCTCAGTGACACTTTTCTAGGGAAAATGCCTGTACATCTCCAGTCATCGATTCTGCAATACCAGCCTTTTGCTCATTCAACAAATATTCAGATAAATCTTTTTTTTCCAGTGTCTGCCAGGCACTGGACTAAGTACATATGATGACTCAATAATCTAAGGAAAATCTTCACTATCCTATTCTGGCCCAACAAGTGCCAAAGCCCCTAATGCCCTAGTTACTACATGACAAGACTTTATCAATGGGAAACCAGTTTTTTAATGAAGGATTTTTTTCTCAGAAATAGGATCTTTTGCGGAGAAAAGCGAAACATTCTGTTCTAAGCATGATTAACTAGGGATATGACAATTTAAATGGGCTATCATATTAAATAGCAGTATGCCTGATGGACAAACGCTGCTGCATTGGACACATGGAAACATTCAGCTACACCATTAAATTCCAGGTCTTTTATTTGCTGTTGACAATTGTAAATGTTCTGTGTCTGACTTCTGATATATCTACCATATATCTGGGTAGTCAACTAACCAAGATATTGTACTGGGTTAGAGAAAAATGAAGAAGGTGGGTACAACTGGAAGCAATGAAACATTCAAAAGATAGGTTTCCAGTAATTATAATCATCCAGAGTACAGCCTAAGTATTGAGGAAAATAATTATATTTGCTCCATAAGAGGTCACCCTTAGGCACTGAAGTTAAAAGCTAATAATTTAGCATTGTGTGCAAAATTAAAGCACTGATTTAATATATTTAATATTCAGATTACACAGAAAAACCTTAAATTCTATCCTAGTTTAATTCACAATGGATAAGAAACAAGTCGTTTCAGACTGGGCATATCAGTGAGAGGACAAGATAAATAAACAGAGGGTCTTTAGGGCAAGACGAAAATGTGAGCACAGATTTCTAAATACCATTCATTCTTATCCAAATCCTACGCTTCATCAGAAGAAAAAAAAAAGTCAACAGACTAAAACCTGCAAGGCACCATTCATTCATGCTCCTAGGAAGTGTACATCACTTTTTCAACTGCTAAAAGCAGCTCAAAAGCATCTCTGACATTGACAGTCACATAGTACCGCCAGAAACCACAGCTGACAATAAGGATAAAGGATCACTTTGAAAACAGCAATTATTTATTTAATTAATAGATAAACCAATAAATAAGTTAATACCTATTTAAAACCATGCAATGAACACCAGATTTGGAATTCATAAATGATAGTGCTTGAGAATTTCTAAGTAAGGGATTAATGGAATTAATAGAATGAGTAGGGAAAAAATGTGAAAGACATAGTAGAGATCAAAGTATCAGGACTCAGTGTGTAATTGCATGTAAGAGAGAAGAAATAAAAAAAGACCTAAAAGTTTGGGGGCCAAGGAGATTTTGGTAGTTTAAAATGTGTAGGTTTCTGTTTCATTTTTAAAAAATCATTCACCCAAGCAGAGAGATAAGTAGAAGCTAGAATACTGTTTTTCTCTGTTTGGCTTCAAGTTCAAGTTTATTATTCATGGTCCACTTCCAGTATGCCAATCTGAAGCATATAACTTTAGTCCTGAAAGTGATCATCATCAGCTTTATCTTCCTCCTTTCATGGGTTAGAAAGCTCAGAGCCGCAGAGATTAAGTGTCTTATTAAGGTAAAGTAAATAGTGGTATCTGAAGAATAGAATCTAGATCTTCCATTTTCATTATATAATATTTTGATCCAAAAGCAAATTTGCTAGAACATTATCAAATGTTAGAAAATAGAGTAAATAGAAATTAATTTTTAAAAGGAAATTTATAGGTATGCTTTCTTTGTACAAAAATTTGTTCCTGAAATATGACTAGAATGAAATTAATCAGAGCATAATTAAATATAACTGGAGGAGTGCACAATTTAAAGAGCTCTTGTGATAAATTTTTTAATAAAATAAAAAATTAATCAAATTTTTATTGTATTTGATTGTCATATATTGTGCTTCCTTCTTGTGGGACCCTCCTATAAATAAAATGGGGAAGTTAAAAGAGCCCTGACAAACCCTTGTGAAGTAACAACTAAAGAATCCCAACATCAGAAATTAAGCTGAAACTATTCAAATTGCCACAGAGAAAGCATTCAAGAGCCAGCACCTGTGTCAAAAAAAATGTTAATTTATAAAATAAATATTTAAAAATTAATCTCCCAGAGAACTTTTAAAGTGAGCTTTATATTGATTCAGGAACTACTCAGTAGGCCCTAACCACTTTGGCTCAGTGATTAGAGCATCGGCCCTCAGATTGAAGGGTCTCGAGTTTCATTCCAGTCAAGGGCACTTACCTAGATTGCAGGCTCCATCCCCGGTACCTGGAGGCAACAATCAACGTGCCTCTCCCACATCTATGTTTCTCTCTCTCCTTCCACTCTCTCAGAAAAGCAATGAAGAAATATCCTCACATGAGGATTAAAAAAAAGAAAATACTCAGACTACATAAGTAGGAGAAGAAAAAAAAACTATCATGAATGCTTTTGCAATCATGTCAAGATGTCCATGTTCCAGTTTGCACCTGATTTAATAATATTATATTTGGAACCAGTCATTTACACTCCTGAGACAAGGAACAAATGTCCAGCATTAAAGAAAGACAGAGGAAACAATCCTTCAAATGCACAAACTCAAAGATTCGGTTAAAGAATTCCAGCGGCTGCTGTTGTGTTATATCCTAAACAGAGCAACTGAAGGAAACCCAAAATGCTAAAGTTCGCTTAGAATAGTTAATGTGTTTGATTCTTCCCATCATTTCAGATGAGGCAAACTGACAATCTGGTTTCTCTGTACCTGCAATGTTGGTTGTGTAGATTCTCTCAAATAGAGTATTGTTATTGAGGGGTGGGGGAGTGTGAAATGGATGGGAGGAGAGGGTGATTCATGGTAACATGGGCTGAATGGTATTCCAACTGTCTCACCGAGGAGATCACTGAGACTGTGGCATTTGCTCTCTGGGGCTCCACCGAAGCCAGGCAGGAAGCTGTTTTTAAACCTGGTCCAACACCAAGGTTATTAATTCACAACACACCTTAAGTCCTGTCACTTATGGAATCATAATGCAGTATCCCATAGCTTACCTTCATCTCTATCCCCTTCTTCTTTATTCTCACCACCAGTTAATCACGCCAGAGACACATGCTCAGAGCCAAGCTACATTAAAGGCCCCTTCAGATCTTTATAACCCAGGGATAGTCCTCACTAGTCCTGAATTTTTCTTCCCCTCTCACTGTCTTGAACATTTATTTGTAATTCTGTCCTTTCTTGCATTATGGTCCTTCTTGTAAGGTTGGTGGCTACCTTATCTGTGCCAAGGTGTTCATGGATGAGACTAGGTGAAACTGTGGCCCACCAGGGAATAGATTTTCATTTTAACATGGGCTATTTGGAGATAGGTGACTTCCATCAAATAGTGATGCCAATGTCAAAAATGTCATACTTCATGGATAGTGATTTGGGGGAAGATGGTCTGTTATAATTCTCAAATCACTCCAAGTAGATGGTTATTACATCTAAATGTGGAATTGCCTTGGGTTCGGGTCAGGTAAAGAGTTCTAACTTGTCACTGAATTTACTAAAATAATGCTTACGTCAAAGATTTTGATATTGACAAAATTCATACAATAGGACTTCAGTTCTCAGGCAAATGAAAAATAAGCAAATAAGCAAGTACTTCTTTTTCTAATTATCTGTAAAAGTATGACAAATGCAAAGACACTTAATAATAGTTATTTTTACAAACCTGGATGAAGTCAAATATGGTAAGAGGCAGAAGATCGTCCAAAATTGCTATATCTTTGGAAAATCTATTAAGAATCCCACCTGTAATATAAAAGAAGATAAATTCCTCAAAAACCAGTAATCTTAAAAAGACATTAATATTTGATAAAATTGGATCATATCAGAAGCATTCAGAATTTAAATAAGAATTAGCATGTAATCAGATAAAGACTTAGAAAAATTTAGTGTTCTACAAAGATTCTAAGTAACTGTGTTCAAGTTATTGTCTCCCACTTTTAAACCTTTATAAAATATAGACTATTGTAAAATTCAGGCCAAAACTAATGTCTTTAATAGAGCCCTTATCACAAATTATGTCAGGAATGGGTACTCATCCTACTACAATCTCACACTTGCAAGCCTGGCTATATTCTCATCATTCCCTTACATCTGTAGTCATACTGCATGGCTCCCTTCTCTGACTTCCTCACCTTTCTGACGCACCTCTGCAGAACCCGTGGCTTCTCCCAGTCCCTACCTGCCCACTATGTGCATGTCCTTTGTCATGTTTTCTCTTTCTACCTTCTTCACTGGCAATCTAAGCTTCAGCCTGTTTTCTAAAGTACAGACTCACATTTATAAGTCTGATAATTTTTTCCTTGAATAGAAAAGAGTTATATATGAAGTGTCTACTATGTGCCAGACACAATGCAAGGCACAGAGGTAACACAGGTGAATAAGTTGTGCTCCTTGCCCTTAAGGGAATTCATTGTCTGGAGGGAGTGAAACATAATTGGATAAAATTCAACATAATGTTGTACAAAGTGATAGTGAATCTTATCATTCACCACCACCCCCATTAACTGCAGGATAAAGTCTAATATTCTTAGTTTAATATTTAATGCCTTCCATGATTTGGCTTTAAACCCCCTAGTTAATAGAAGCCTCCTTTACTCAAGCATTCTGTTTCAGCCAAATTGTTTGATTCCTTTTTAAATTATATTTTTAAATTATAGTTGACATACAATAATAGATTAGTTTCAGGTAAAAAACAGAGTGATTAGATATTTATATATCTTCAAAGTGATCACTCCAATAAGTCTAGTACCTACCTGGCACCATAGTTATAATATTATTGACTATATTCCCTATGCTGTACTTTATTTTCCTGTGACTAATTTTATAACTAAATCCCCTTCTTGGTTTATTCTTTATATATGCTCTACACTCTCCTACCTCCCTGCTTTGTCTATGTGGTCCACTCTGCCTGAAAACCATTCCCCTCATCTTTATTTGTCAAAATCTATGTCTCCTTCCTGGCCCAAATCAAATGCCTCTCTTGTAAGGAAGCCTCAATGTTTGCACCAGCTCCAATTAATCCTTTCCTCCACTGGACACACTTAATACCTTTACTACATCTTGTCAGCACTTCTGTGTTATAATGACTATACCCATGTCTTATATCATAGGTGCTTGTATACATGTCTTATCTTTGTTTCTACACTGTATATTGCTAGAGGTCAGTGGGACCTTGCCACATGTATTTTCTATTACTCATACACTCATTACCCTCAGCAAAAAGGATTATATGTAGGAATTACTTAATGCATGTTTATTGATTTATGTCACTATCTCTTAGCCATTATCAATAACATTTCCTTGGGCATACTTTAACATATTTGTATATCTTTCCATAAATTACCAAAAATTGAAAAATAGTAGTCTATGATATATATACTGTTCAGAAAATGGAAGTCCACTTTGGTGGGAAAAAAATATCATTAGTGGTGCTTATTATATTTCAAATGGTAGTGTTTTTTCAAAATATGCATTTCCATTTCCATTCATTCAATATACTTTACTGGGCACCTACTATGTGTCTGTATGACTAAGGTCATTTAAATAGCAACCTAGGAAAATCAGACAAGTAGTCAAAGAAAATCAAGTTCAGTATACAATTTCAGAAGGGCACATCTGAGAGAAACTGAAGTACACATACAAGGCAAGGGAGTATTAGTTGTTGGTGATTATAGCAGAGAATATGTAGGCAACATAATGAGAAGAAATGGACCATAAATCGGTAAGAGCAATCTTTTTTAAAATAAAGTACCATCTTTGCATACAGAAATTGGGGGTGCGGGTAGGAGTGGGAAAAGAACATCTAGATGTTATAAGGTCATCTTGCTATTTCAGTTCTCATGAACATGAATAAGGAAAAATGTAAAAATAGAGATGTTGCAGAATAATCCTACAAAGTAGATTAAAGTTTGGAAAATAAGATGAATGAGAAAATGAAATGACATTTATTTCATCTTGGCTATGTAACAGGTAAAAAGATTGCCTGTTTTACTCTCACAATGATCCTCTGAGATCTCCATTTTACAGATGCAAAAGTAAGGCTCAGGCTCAGAATAGTAACTTGTCCATGATCATCACTCATATGAGTACAAGTCAGGACTCAAAATAATTCCCACACTCTTTCCATTATGTCTCATTGCCCATTTATGAATGCTGGCAACTTGGACAAATCCTCTATCTTCTCTGGGTCTCAGTTTTTGCATAAAAAAATTAAATTATTGGATCAAGGTAATCCAATCCAATCTAACATTCCCTTTTAGGTCTACAATGTCTTTGGTGTAAAACAGATGGTGATGAGTATATCCAAATGAGGCAAGCCTTTAGTGACCTACAAGGGCTTCAGAATAAATATAAAACTCTTCCTGAAAACTAACACTGAAATTTTGTTAACCAGAAAAACATTGATTGATATTTCTTGTCTTGATATTTGTAGATACAAATCACTCTAAAATCCTCAATCCTGGAAGTTATTCTTTGCTTTATAATCAAATGCTTCTGTATCTACCTCCTTCCCCTTGCCTGTGAGTTCTTCCAGGGTAAAAACTGTGTGCCTCATTCATCTTTTCAGACCAACCCCTGGTTGAGTGCCACACAAAGTAAATGTTCAGCAGATTGCTGTAAGAATAAAACTTGGGAATTCCTTATGAAACTCTAAATGTCAATTTGTCTAAAGGAGAATTAATGGAATTGATTACTTTCAATGTACCTTATTGTCCTTAGGTGTTTTTTTAAACCTTTGGTGCATCAATTTCACTACTTTTACTTTCTGTGACTGTATTTTTATTAAGGTATAATTAACAAATAAAATTGTAAGGTATTTAAAGTGTACAACGTGATGATCTGATACATGTACACATTGTGAAAGGATTCCTCCCATTGAGTTAACACACCCATCATCCCTCACATCTGCCTTTTTAAAAACTTGTTTATTTTATTTTTTCCATTATCCCCTCTATGCCCTCTTCTGCCTCCACCCACCACCCTCCCCCTCCACAATCACCACACTGTTGCCCATGTCCATGAGTCCTCCCTCTCTTTTCCTTTTTTGCTCAATACTTTTGGGCAGGGGGAGGGGGGAGAACATTTAAGTTTTACTCTCTTAGCAAATTTCAATTATATAGTAAACTGTTAGCAATTATAGTCACATGTTATACATTAAGTTCTCAGGCCTTACTCATAACTGAAAGCTTCTATCTTTTTACCAACCTCTATGATGGTATCAAAAATATTTTAAAAATACATTTAGGATTTCAATCACCACCAAACTCACCCACACTCCCTAAAAAGAAGTAAAAATCCTGAAGTGAATTTGTATGATCACCTTTGAATAGTTACAGGAAACAAGATTTTACCCATCAAAATACTTTATCTGTAAAAGAATTTTAGATTTTCCATGATTGTTTCAATTCTTCTCCTCTTTTAAACAATGCTGAACATTGGCACCAAGAAGCCTTGAAGGGGTTAGACAGAACATCTGCATGGAGAACAACTGACCCAGAAGGTCTTGCTGCTCCATTGCAATGCCATTAGCATCACTTTCTAACAAACTGAGTACTCAAATTAGCTGATGCAGAAATAGGAAAAGCAACAGTATCTGACAGTCTATAGTACCTGAAAAATGTACATGCCTGCCATAAGGAAGCTCAACAAAGTTCAGATGCCTCTGTGCAAAGCCAATGCTATACTAGAAAACCAACTAAATCACAGGCCCTTTTGATGGTGAATCAGCAGCTTCAGTTTCTAAATCTACTCAAATACCTGCTTTCAACGTGTTGAGGGTTGACATAGGTGCATGGAGAACAGAATGTAACATTTTGTGGTGTAAAATTTTTGACACTGTGATTAGAGAATGCACTAGTGGTAAACCTCGGAAGAATCCCAGAGCAAGCAAAGTGTCGGCTACTCCCACATAAATGTAAAAAACATAAAATGAGCTGGTGTTGGTGATGATCACTGCATAGCTGTTATTTGTACTCCCAATACTATTCCCTTTGTCTTGAGAAGGTGTTCTGTAAAGCAAAGGGAAATTGTTAATCAGCAACAAATTCTTCACATTGAATTTGCAATACTATATGTAAGTGAAACTGAAGTTGAGTCTAAAGAAACACAAATATTTCATTAGCAGAGTTTATGACTTTAATCTCAAGTATTTTCTATTGTAAGAAAGTATATTAAACTTTTTTATCATTGAAATAGATAAAACTGATTCTTACTAAGTACTCAGAAAATTCTAATATATAATGTTGTTTTAAATATTTTCATTACATTTTATGGAAACTAAACATAACTGAATTCTTTAGAGATTGGTGAAGAGTTGCAGGATCTGCACATGCTCACACTTTTAAACAAAATAATTTGATTTTTCACTTCTGTGATATCATGGGAAAATTAAATATTACAATATTTAATAAACCCCAAATAACCAATAGTAACAAAATATAATACACAGTAGGACATGGAATACTCACTGTTTAAGTAGCCGCAAAACAACCAAAAAAACAGCCACCTGGAATGGAACAATCAATACACACTTAGTTCTTCCCATACCCACTTCTAATTCCACCACGACCAAAATCAAAACACACACAATTGCATTTTCCTTTTCTTTTCTGGGCCCAGCAGATACAATAATTATTCTAAGAACCATTACTTGTGGTGAGAACATGTTAAATTAATGGGATTCAAATTTCACTGAATTAAATACTTTATCATTTCTTTCCTTCATTCAACAGGAAGTATTAATTGCCTCCCAGGAGAGCTAAGATCATAATTAAATGTTTTAAATAAACTTTGTTTCTTATACAGACTAATCTCAGCCTACTGGCAGATAATTTATCTGATTATTTATAATCAGATAAATAAATTCATTTGTCATGCAATGATTATGAGGGACAAATATCTATGATGAGATTAGTATTTATGAAAATCAATTAAAGGTCTCAACAGTACAAAAATTCACAGTTTATGAATAAAGATAAAGTACATTCAGGTTAAAACATATACTGCTGGGCTTTCTCAGGTGGAAACTTTTGGCTGACAGACAAATGTTTGATGCCATAACTAAACAATACAAAATTTTAACAACTATATTTCTTTTAACTCCCTTTGATAGTTAAGCTATCTGTACTCTGTTTTATATCAATTTGGCTTTCTAGCCTCTTAAATTCTGTGGAGAAACAATCTTCTGTTGATGCCCTCACAACTGTAATACTAGAAATGACTAAAATGATACAATTTGCTCAATAACAACTATACCAAAAATTAAAATAGAAAAAGACACAAGAAATTGTGAGTAAAATAATTTGAAAATGAACACAGCATAAAAATAAGCAAGGAAAAAACAAATATACTTGGTATAAGAAATCTGTCATTTCATATTCAAACTTAAGTATGTAATAGTAATATATAAAAATTTATAAAGAACATTTAGCACTAACTAAGAAATTACATTATGAAGTCCTATACTTGAAACAGGTGCATCTGCTTTAGTTAAATTCGCATATCAGATAGGCTTATAATGATGAAAACTCTTAATGGCATCAATCTCACTTTCCTATGTTTCATTTTACACAAAGCCTTTTTGCACCATATTTATGAAGAGAAAAACTATCCTTGTTTCTTGAAATTCAAGTAAATTCAAAATGACAAGAAACTCAGTGATAATCTATATCAAAAGTCTTTGTTTCAGTACAGATGTTTTTCTATTTCTTAAGACTAATCAAGATACTCAAGAACCTAGATAAGAGTATATTTCTGAGTCACTTTTCAGTTATTATACTCCCCCTTTGTTCCATTTAAAAGAGTGTCAACAATGCTGGTATTGCCAATGTTCTCTGGATGTGAGTAAATCCCAGAATAAATATTTTATAACATTTACTATGGAGAAATAACCAAAGCAGTTTTCCAAAGAACTTGTCTAATCAGTGTAATATAAAGTTATCTCCTGGCTCTTGTGGATAGAGGCATGGAACTTGCAACCCAAACTGTTTTTATTTACTGAAACAAAAACCTTTCTAAGCACTTGACATAATGATTTTAGCAAATATACTTGGGCCATATAGACACAATTGAATAAGCAAGTTCTATCATTTAATTACCAAAATGTTTTCAGATTGTGAAAGTTCATACAGTTTATGATAGAGTGACCATCCTGGATGATTAAAGCAAAAAGGTCCATATTTTCAGTTTTTTCAGTGTTTAAACATCATTCCGTAACACATAGAAGCAGTACAGTGTAGACCAGTATTGACCAATAGAAATTTAAACAATAATAGAAATGTTATAGTCATGTGCTGTTCAATATTGTTGCCACTGATCATGTGGCACTCAATCACTTGAAATGTGGTTAGTGTATGTGAATGATGAACCAACTTTTAAAATTTATTTCATTTTAATAAATTTCATTTAAGTTATACGATCGTATATGGCTGGTGGCTACTGTATTAAACTGTGCATGCATAGGTTATAATTATTAGTTATGGAGGTGTGTAGACAGATTATTTATTATATATCCATATTAGGCATCAGGAATCTAATAATGCCATTCTCTAAGGATAGACCCATGAATGGCCAAGATGATGATTAATGAACTTTGCTAATGGAACCAGGATGAAAAATAAAAACCAATATTTTGAAGCTAGAATTAAAATTATGTAGATAATTTGTCTACATGATTAAAATAAAATGGATGTGAGTGTAGAATATCATAGTATATACATATGGAAAGAGAAGTTATGTACCTACCTTTGAGAGACTTATTTGCTAAATGAATCACGAAATATCTTAAGAGGTGTGATAGATGAAAGAAGATATAATGCAGAACTAGAGCAAGAATATATCCAGGACTATGAGGATCCCTATCCAGGTACAATTTTGATATTCACAACTAAAGAAAATAGGTTTGAAAGAGAAGAAAACCACCACAGAGAACGTGTTAAGACCTGGTTTATGAAAGGCTCAAAAATGTGAATACAAGCAAACAAGGTAAAATGGTCCAACATTCTCTCATGAAGAACTTTGACTGACTGCAGAGAAGACATGCATAAATATTTCACTGAGGAATACCTGCAGAGCCTTTAAATATGACTGAAGGTTTCCAATACTCAAGATGTTAAGCATAGTTAATAACAGCAATCCCTTCCAGTCATAACAGATGTCCCTGCTTTTCCTTGCACCCATATCCGATCCATTTTGCCTATAGCAGACAGAGTGATCTTTTATTTTATTTATTTATTTTTTATGTTTTTATTGATTTTGAGAGGGAGGGAGGAGGAGGGAGAAAGAGAAACATCTATGTCAGAGAGAAACATTGATCAGTTGCCTCCCGTATGCATTCCAACCAGGGACCAAACCCAAAAGCTGAGCAATTCCCTGACTGAGAATTGAACCCCTGACCTTTCGATGCATGGGTCAATGCTCAATCAACTGAGCCACACCAGCCAAGGTGAGAGTGAGCTTTTTAAAACATAAAAAAGTGGGAATAAAGGGATCATACCTCAACATAATAAAGGCTATATGTGACAAACCTACAGCTAACATCACACTCAATGGGCAAAAACTAAAACCATTTCCATTAAAAACAGGAACAAGACAAGGATGTCCACTTTCACCACTCTTATTCAACATAGAACTGGATGTCCTTGCCACAGCCATCAGACAGGAAGAAAACATAAAAGGTATCCAAATTGGAGAGGAAGAAGTAAAACTATCATTATTTGCAGATGACATGATCTTGTACATAGAAAACCCTAAAGATTCCATCAAAGTGCTACTAGATTTGATAAATGAATTCAGCAAGGTAGCTGGATACAAAATCAACATTTGGAAATCAATGTCATTCTTATATACCAACAATGAAATTTCAGAGAGAGAAACTAAAAAAACTAGCATTTACCATTGCAACTAAAGAAATAAGATACCTAGGAATAAACTTAACCAAGGATGTAAAAGACCTGTACTCGGAAAACTACGTGACACTGAAAAAAGAAATAGAGGGAAATTTAAACAAGTGGAAGAATATATCATGCTCATGGATTGGAAGAATTAATATCATTAAAATGTCCATACTCCCCAAAGCAATTTATAGATTCAATGCAATTCCTACTAAAATACCAACAGCATATTTCAAAGACCTAGAACAAACATTTCTAAAATTTATATGGAACCAAAAAAGACCCCGAATAGCTGCAGCCATCTTGAGAAAAAAGAACAGAGTGGGAAGGATCACTTTACCAGATATCAAACTGTACTACAAAGCCATTGTATTCAAAACAGCCTGGTATTGGTACAACACCAGACATATAGACCAAAAGAACAGAACAGAGACCTCAGAAATAGGCCCACGCAATTATGGTCAGTTAATATTTGACAAAAGAGGCAAGAGTATCCAATGGAGTAAATACAGCCTCTTCAATAAATGGTGCTGGGAAAATTGGACAGGTACATGCAAAAAAATGAAACTAGACCACCAACTTTCACCACACACAAAAATAAACTCAGAATGGATAAAAGACTTAAATGTAAGTTGTGAAACTATAAAAATCCTGGGAAAAAACATAGGCAGTAAAGTCACAGACATCTCACATAGTGGACTTTTCACTGATACATCTCTTAGGGCAAGAGAAACAAAAGAAAAAATAAACATATGGGGCTACATCAAACTAAAAAGCTTCTGCACAGCAAAAGAAAACAGCCTCAAAATACAAAGGAACCCCATGGTCTGGGGAAACATACTTGCCAAGGATGTATCTGATAAGGGGCTAATATCCAAAGTCTACAAAAAACTCACACTGCTCAGCAAGAGGAAGACAAACAATCCAATTTAAAAATGGGCAAAGGATCTGAACAGATACTTCTCCAAAGAAGATATGCAGATGGCCAAGAGAAATATGAGAAAATGCTCAAAGTCACTAATCATCAGAGAGATGCAAATTAAAACCACAATGAGGTATCACTTCACACCTGTCAGAATGGCTGCCATGAACACATCAGTGAACTACAAGTGCTGATGAGGATGTGGAGAAAGGGGACCCCTGGTACACTGCTGGTGGGAATGCAGACTGGTGCAGCCACTATGGGAAACAGTGTAGAGATTCCTCAAAAACTAAAAATGAAGCTGCCTTTTGACCCAGGGATCCCACTGCTAGGAATATACCCTAAGAATCCTGAAATACTAATTAGAAAGAATATATGCACCCCTATGTTCATAGCAGCACAATTTACAATAGCTAAGGTCTGGAAACAGCCCAAGTGCCCATCAGTAGATGAGTGGATAAAAAAGCTGTGGGACATTTACACCATGGAATACTATGCAGCTGTAAAGAAGAAGGATCTTATACCATTTGGGGCAGCATGGAGGGACCTGGAGAATATTATGATAAGCGAAATAAGCCAGGTAGAGAAAGACAAATGTCACATCATCTCACTTATTTGTGGAATCTAAAGAACTTAATAAACTGATGAACAGAAATGATTGAATGACATGGAAGCATGGATCGGACTGACGAA